TAAAAGTTTAGTGAGGCCCAGAACGAATTTGAAGAGCAACGAGCCAAGGACACAAAAACTAACAGGAAAAAAAAGCGAAGTGGCCCAGGAGCCTACCAACGAGGAAGTGAGGGCAGGAGCTGAGTGCAGAGCTAAAGCAGCACTCAACACCGATAAGGCAGGTGTGGAAAACCTAAGTGAATTCTTTGCATTGGTCATCAAAGCAGAGGATGTGGAGGAAATCCCCACACCTGGGCTATTCTTTTTAGGTGTCAAATCTGAGGAACTGGCCCAGGTTGAGGTGGCATTAGAGGTGGTTTTGGAACAAATTGATAAATTAAACAGTAATAAGTCAGCAGGACCAGAGTGTATTCCTCCAAGAATTCTGAAGGAACACGCATGAAATTGTAGAACTACTAACTGGGGTACGTAACCTATCACTTAAAATCAGCTGCTGCAGCAGATGACGCACAGATCGGTAATGTAATTTTTAAATATATTAGGAACAAAAAGAATCCTAACCATGGTATTGGTCTATTACTAGACAGAAATTGTAGAATTTTCAATAACAACCCAGAAAAGGCAGAAGTGTTCAATATTTCTGTTATGTATTTGGAGAAAAATAATTATATAGTCTCATCATATGGTGGTAACTCTTTCCAGTCTATTGGTACCTGTGGAGAATATTAAAGACAAGCTACTGGAGGCTGACATTTTTAAAACCATCACGGTCAAATAACTTGCACCCACAAGTTTTAAAACAGCTGGCTGAGGAGTTTGGTGGACTGTCAATATTGATATCTAATAAGTCTTGGAGAAGTTCCAGAAAACTGGAAGAAAGCAAGTGGTGTGCCACTTTTTAGATTGGGTAAATAGGGTGACCTGGGTAATTATAGGCCTTCAGCCAGACATCACTCTCAAGCAAGATAACAGAGTGGCTGATATGACACTCAATTAATATAGAATTAAAGGAGGGTAACAATTAACATCAATCAACATGAGTTTATGGAAAATAGATCCTGTCAGACTAATTGGATATCTGTTTCTTGATGAGATTACGAGTTTGGTTGATAAAGGTAATAGTATTGATGCAATATACTTAGACTTCTGTAGACCTGGTACCACCCATTTTGATTAAACTAGAATATAAAAGTAACATGGCACACATTAAAGGCATTAAAAACTGGCTGATAGGTCTCAAAATGTAACTATAAATAGGGAATCATCATCAAGCAGTTTTTAGGGGGATCGGTTCTTGGCCCTATGCTAGCTAACTTTTTATTTTTTAAATCAATGACCTGGAAGAAAACAAAATCATTGATAAAGTTTGCAGATGAGACACACATTGGGGGGAGTGATAAATAAAATGAAGAGGACCAGTCACGCTGGAGTGGTTGGTATACTGGTTAAGCAAACAATGTGTATTAAGACAGCTATATATAAATGTATACATCTAGAAACAAAAAATGTAATCCATACTTCCAGGATGGGGGACTATCTTGGGAAGCCGTGACTTTGAATAAGCTTTAGGGGTCATGGTGGAGATATCTCCCACTGCAATGCTGTGGCCAAAAGAGCTCATGCAATCTTGGACACAAACAGGGGAATGTTGAGTAGGACTAGAGAAGCTATTTTACATCTGTATTGGGCACTGGTACAACTGCTGCTGGAATCCTGTGCCCAGGGCGGCTGCCCACAATTCAGACATGTTGATAAATCAGAGACGGTTCAGAGAAGAGCTATGGGAGTGATTAAAGGGTCAGAAGCCTGCCTTTGTGTGATAAATACAAAGAGCTAAACCTATTTATCTTAACAGAGAAGGTTAAGAGATGACTTGACGACAGTCTATAAGTATCTACATGGGAAACAAACATTTAAGAATGGGCTCTTCATTTTTGTAGAGAAAGGTCTAACATGATGCAATGGCTGGACATTGAAGCTAGATGTTGGAAGTAAAGCTTACCTTTTAGTGGTGAGAGCAATTAACCATTGGAACACTTTACTGGGGTCATAGTGGATTCTCCATGACTGACCATTTTTAAATCACGATGAGACGATGGTCTAAGAGCTACTCTAGGAATTATTTGGGGGAAGATCTCTGGCCTGTATTATACAAGAGGTCAGACTAAATGATCACAATGGTCCCTTCCAGCTTTGGAATCTATGAATTGCCTCTCAACCCCCTTCCTTCCAACCCTGGACAGGTTTTGTGGGGTTAAGCACCCTTGCAAGGCAAGCCTCTCAGACCTCACGAATGAGCTGCTCTTAGCTGGTGAGGAAGCAGAGAGCGTTTATCGGGATGCCTAGGCCTTACACCACCAGTTTGCCAGCAAATTACTTCTCTAGCAGCCGCACACTAGTGCTCAAAGCTTCCTGTAGCGGCTGCCTCAACGCTCTGCTTTCTGATGCTCTGCGCGATGCAGGACGTGCTGCGTGGCACAGGCTCCGCGCTAGGAGGGGATGCAGTGAAACAGCAGCCTTAGATTTGTATCAATCAAATCCCACACTAAAAAGACGGCCCCTTCGTTTTGTTCACGTACTGCACGTAGCACAAAGGGACCCGGATCCATAGTTAGGAACTGCAAGTGTTACATAACTCCATCAAGAACCTGCCCTCCTTCAGCAATCTGTTATGGAAGCGGATCTCTCAGAGGGGAATGTGCAGGCAGAGCAGCAGCATTTTAAAAGAGAGACAGGACTTGACAGAGTAATTTATTTGAAGAAAAGTTCAGGGATGTTACCAGCTACAGGTTATACTAGCCAGTAGTAGATTAGCACGAAGACCAGTGACGTTCACATTAGATAATCATCTCCTGCTGTCCAATAGAAAAAAAGTCTCTGTCCACACAGGCGCTTTGGCCAGAAGCAAGGAAGCGGCAGCTTGTTCAATCACCCATGCTTCCCTGGGGAGAGAGGGAGTCACAGCTCCAGCACAGCGGCAAGACGCAAGGCACATTGCTGAAGTCCATTTCTGCGTAAAAGGTCGACACGCAGACCATGGCGCAGGATGGCCCCCGAGGCAGGCAGCATTGCTCCATACTCCAGGCACATGGCTCACTGCAGAGGTTATTTCAGTGACATTTACATAGCAGACAACAATAAATAAGGGGCAGGGAAATCAACTATTATACAGTTTAACAGCGTAATTTTAGGAACAATAAAGCCAAGGCCTCCTTCTAGAAAGAGTGACCCTTGCTAACTCAGACAAAATGATCCTCCTTCCTTTACAAAAACATTGCACTTTTTATACACCCAAGTCTCTTCCCAAGCCTTTTATTTACTTTGAACCAACCCAACAAATTGGTCACATTAGAAGATTCCTCACTAGTTGTCCAGGGCAGGAGTGAATAAGCCTTTGGAGACAGAGAGACTGGTCAGGGGAAGAGCTGTGTATGTGGAAATACAGTGGCAAGATACAAAAGGCAAGACTAGAGGTATGTTACAAATACTAAAGGAAGATTTCCTCACGTAGCAGCCTCCTAGAAGAGAGGTCAGGGGACCACAGCTGTCCAATGCGGTAGCTAGCCAGTGGTGTCCAATCTGTAGCCCTCAAGGTGTTAAGAAAACACGTCTGATTATGAATTGGAAGTGCATTCCCTGACCGTGTCCTGTGATTATTAAACTGAAGCATTGGCCCCATTACTATGGGAGACCATGGGAGCAGCTCTGACATACAGCCAAGCGCCCTTGGAGCTGCTGCTGCCCCTTCCCGGCTGCAGCCCAGCTGGCAGGGAAGGAAGTGGGAGCAGCTCTGGCTGCTCCAATGCCAGAGTCCTTCCTGGACTGCGAACACCTCAGGGTCAGCAGGATCGGCGCTTGAGTGACTTTATTTCCATTGGTGCAGGCAACATATTGACTTTGGCTCCTTGACCTTACTGAAATCTGTTCGGCTCTGAGGCTGAGCACCAGGCAGTATCACCTGCTCTCTAGCCTGTGGCTACAAGAGATTGAGGGATAACGGACTCCCAGAATCACATTTGAAAGAAGAAACAACTGAGACACCCAACTGCTAAAGTACCACAAATGTTCACTTGCTCAAAGCCGGTGACCATCCCTGGCGAGGAGAGAGAACCAACAGACTCCAAATGTTCTGCAGAGTCAGATGGGCTGGGTACAGCCCACACCCATTTCCTTTGCAAAATACATTCCAGGCATTCAGGTGAGACAGTGAGCAACTAACACTGAAGGCTACAGGCCTGCTGCTGGAGTGGATGTTGGCAGCGCATGGATCTAAGGCCTTGTTCATTCGGGGCTTGAGCCGTCCCTCCACCAGGTCTTGCAACGTAACTGAAAGTGGCAATGCAGCCGTCTCTGCAGCGCATGGAGACTGAATCTGAGACATCAAGACGAGCACACACATGACCTCAGCAGTCCCTGTTGTTGAGGAAGAGGGCATTCAACTGGATGGTGTTTGCCCTGCTTCTCTAGACACGGCCCCACAACCAGGGCTTAAGGGCTAACTGGCTTTTTCAGGACTAGTTCCGCTAATGCTGGCATTAGGTGGCCAGAGGACAGGGTGGGGCTGTGATTTGGTGAGCAGATAAGGCAGTTCTTGTCTTGTGATCCAGATTTGGTTTAAGGCCAGACGACTCCAGCCCCCTCCCCCAACCACATGATCTAATTCACAGTGCGTGGTCCCTGGGAGAGGAGAGGCGGGAAAGCCTTTGGTTGGCATGTGGACGGCGGCAGCAGAGAGAACGGCCTCGGTACGTCCCCTTGGAGCGTACAGCCACAGGCAGCACAGGAGGACGTCTCACTGAGGCGTTGGAGAGACAGACGGACAGGCTGGGGCAGCTGCTGCCTGTTCAGGGAGGTTTCCTGTGAATGGGGGCAGTAGTCAACACATGCTCCCTCTGGACCCCAAACAGCCCTTACAGTGGGGCACAGGACCTCCCCTTGTTGTCCCCCGGGCAGCAGCCAAGGCTGGGCTACCCCAGAGCAAAGAACAGGCCTCTGACTGAAGGGCCAGCAGAGGCCATGGTCAGCCGCTGTGGAGCGAGAGGGGTCTGCGCTGGAGAAAGCCAGGCCCAGCAGGCAATGCGGAGAGGGCAGCCCCCTCAGTCAGCCTGCACCTGCCCCCCAGGGCCTTTCGATGGGGAACGTGGCTCTGCTCAAGGAGAGACGGGAGCGGGGGGGGTGAGTTACAGAGGAAGCTGGCTGCTGTCTCGGGGTAGAGCACCTCTGCTGGTGCTCGGTGGCTGCCAGCGGAAGCAGGCACGGTGGTGCTTTATGGTACAAACTGGGCAAGATCCCAAGCAGCTGGAGGATGGGCCAGAGCTTTCCCAAGCTCAAACACCAAAGCATCAGTGAAGAACAGGCGGGGGCCAGGCCCAAGAGAGGCCCATTCCCGAGCTGCAAAAGCACCACCGAGCAGGGCAGGCTGGGAGCCCCTGTCCGGCTGGAGGAGGGAGCAGACGCCGGCCCACTGTATCCTTTTTAACGATGCTTCGAGCCCTCACTGGGCAGCGGCCTTAACCGTGCACCCCCTCCCTCCCCTTGCCCCAGATGCTGCGTTACAGGGCTAAATTCAGGCCTGTACCCACCCCTCAAGCGCCAGCCTCTGCCCCCACAGCTCCCTGCAAAGGCGTTAGGAGTTCCTGACAGCAGCCCGGGATCCAGCGGGTTAGGCTCCAAGGAGGCTTTTTCACACGTCCGCCCCTTTCAACACGCACAGTGCTCTGGCTGCATAGCGCTGACACAAGCCAGGAGGTTCGATGAGATGTGCCAGGAAGGCAGTTGGGCCTGGTTGCTAGACGCCCCACAGGTTCCTCTAGCTGCATAGCCTAGAAGGAAACCACTTTCCGGGATTAAAATCCACCTGACTGGAGAGCCTAGGAATCCAGGCCAAAGCAGCAGGTCCGTACTTCAGAAGTGGCAAGAGAAGCTTCGCCAGCATCTCTGCTTACACGGCGGGTTCCCTGGACTCCACGGCACACGGTGGAAAACTGGATCGAGTAGGAGGGTGCCGCGCAGCAGCAGGCACCGAGGCAGCAAGTGAAGTCCCAACCCTCCCCAGCACTTCAAAGTGGCCTCTCCGCCGGAGGGTTTCCAGCTGAAGGCAGCTGTGGTCCTTCCCCGAGCAAGTTCCCAAGCATCCCACTCAACACACGCTGAAGACCGAGGGGGCCTGAGCCTTGTATTTCTCGTGGAAGTTCTTCAGGATGGGGACGAGGTTCTTGAACGCTGGGCGGAAGGAAGCTTCGGATTCCCAGCAGTTTTTCATTAAGCAGTAGATCTGAGGAAGGGAAGAACAGTTAAAAGGCAGGCCGAGCACAAATCAAACCCACGAGTCAAAGCAGCCGCCCCCACCCTGAGCTGGAAGGCAGTCAGGAACAGGCCCGTTAGCAGGCAGCAGTGGAACGGCCCTCTGGCCGACATGCACCCTCCGCTGCTCCGAAGCCTATCAAAACCAAACCGAAGTAACAAAAGCCACCACTGCTCCCTTATTGCGCTAGCTGAGGGTTCTCTCTGCCTCTGGCCATGGGCGTTGGAGGATACAGCCCCTGCCCAGGGCAGGGCAGCTGGCTGGTGAGACTTCAAGCTTGCCCAGTCCGAGTGGAATCCCAGGGAGAGCTCTCACTGACTTCAGCAGGGGCCGGATTTCACCCTGCATTCTTTTAGCAGCGTGTAGGGGAAAGGCTAACCTACTGCTTCCATTCCTAATCAGAGTGAAGGCAATTAGTCTTTAGCCAGGCCCTCTGGAGGCAAAGCCCCCGTTAGCGAGGCAGTCTCTGCCTGCCACGCCAGTCCGCGACCTGCGTATTTCTGCTCATCGAGGGCCTGCCCAAGCCCAGCACCTATACAGCTGTGGTGCTATCCCGGGCATCGTGGGGGAAAGGGAGTCAATTCTGCTTTCCTGCGTTGCCCTCCCGCATCACTGGATTCTTCACTTCCTGTCCTAGGCTGCTGAGCAGCGGGAAGCAGCATCACGTCCCACAGGAGAGGTGGCTACATTCCAAGAGGTGATCCCTGTATAGTCTGTGGAGCACTTGGGGTCCCGGTGGGATGGAATGGGCTGTAGCACCGCGTGAAGTTATTAACAGGCACCGCTCAGCGCTGACTACACCGCGACAGCCTCACCTCACAAGGACAGTCCTTCGGGCTCGGGAGCCTCTTCCCCCTGTCCAGCAGCTCGATCAGCCTCAGCACGGTCATCTGACCCTGAGTCGCGCCGATCATCTCGATGAATTTCTAAGAGGGAGGGAGAACAAAGCTGGTTGGTGGGGGAGGGTCCCGCTTGCTACTTGTTCAGCAAACTCGAACCCCAGGAGCAGGAAAGCCCCCGTGAGTCCCTCTCCACTCACCACAGGGGGGCTCTGGCTGGAGTCGCAGCGTGTCAGGAGCTCGTAGAGAGTGACACCGAAGGACCAGACGTCGGAGGCGTAATAGAACTTGCACTCCTTCAGGCATTCCATGGCGTACCTGCGGGGTGGGGCAGGGGAGACGGGCACCATCAAGCTATAGCTGCAACCACAGGGCATCAGCACAAGGGACCCACAGCCAGAGCGTGGCAAGAATCCCTCCAAAAACGGCACTTGAGCTCCGAGGGGCTCACAACAGAGATTCTGCGTCATGGCCCTGCACAGCATCCCAGAGTGTCCCAGGCCAGACCCGGCACGATCCCATTCCTCAGGGCCCCCCCAGCCACATCTTTGGCATGGCAGAGAACGTACAGAAGGAAGCCATCACATTCAGACGCAATCTCTGGGCAGACTTGCTCTGGCAGTTGCCGAGGGAGGAGGCGGCACAGATGCTGGTTACCCAGTCGTCCTCGCCATGGCTGCACTGCAGACCGATCCTCAGGGCACACAGCCTCCAGGTGTTACTGAATTTGCTTTTCCACCACAGCTCGCACGTGGCCCGAGGCCACTCACCTGGGTGGCTCACAAAGACTACAGGTCGCAGCATACAATGCTCCAACTTGAGCCGTGCTGGGACCTGTATTTTAATCAGGCCAACCCACTCCATTAACAAGAGGGGGCCGGCTAGTCAGCTCCGTACAATGCAGATTCACCAGGGCACTGGGATGGCTAGCAAGCTACCGGCGTTGCCCTCCGAGGGGAAACATGGGGACCCCACCACGCTTACCAGAAGACAGGGCTGTCTCCGTCCTCGCAGACGCGGTAATATTCGTGCCCTTCGGGGATGGCTTTGGCCAGTCCGAAATCACCGATCTTCACCACGTTCTCGTTCTCCAGCAGCACGTTCCTAGCAGCCAGGTCCCTGTGGATGTAGTGCAGGGAGTGCAGGTAAGCCATGCCCTGTGGAGAGCAAACACTGGATTATCCCCATTCTGCAGCCAGGACCATGAAGCATCTGGGAGAGACGGGAACTGGCCCAAGGTCACATGGAGAGTCTGACAGAACTGGGGATAGGACCCAGGAGTCCCAGCACCCAGATTCTCCCCTGCTCTAGCCACTAGACCCCACTCCTTCCCCTGGACATTGCACTGCACAATCGTTTGTTTCCCCAGCTCCCCCCCACCCCAGCTCTGGAGCGGCACAGACGCACGGTGTAGTCCCTTCTCCCCCAGGCAGTGACAGCATCAGCACAGGCTCCCCACGCGCTGCCTGGCTTGGGCCCGGTCGTTACCTCGCAAATTTGCTGGGCAAAGAGGAGGATGTGGGCCAGGCTGACGTTGTGCTTGGGCAGGTAATCCCGCAGGCTGCCCAGGGGCACGTACTCCATGATGAGCTGCACGATCTTCTCCCCTGGAAGAGGAGCCGAATGTAAGCGATGCGCTCAGCGGGACGGGCTGCGGTAGGCAGCGGAGCAGAGAGGCGCAGCCGAGGGGAACGCAGCCATGGCCTGAATCCCCACCACTGTCCTACCAGAGGCTAAGCCCCCTCCTGCGATGTGCAGCTTCATGCCTTACATCCCACGCTCCTGGAGAGCAGCTGGCCAGCCTCCGCAGGGAGTGCCTAGGGCTCCCTTCTGCCAGCCTCCGCAGGGAGTGCCTAGGGCTCCCTTCTGCCAGCTGACAGAGGTGCAACCGTTCTGCTCTGGCCTGGGGATTTGCAATCAATCAAGGCTTAACCTCTCTGGCACCAAGCAGCAGCCTTGGGGGGGACATGCATAGTTAACCCCGCCTTGGGGGCAAGCAGGGGAGCCCCACAGCACGCTCAGCCTTTGGGAGGTGTCCGTAGAGCATGTGCCTTGGGCTGTTAGGGCACTAACCAGCTTGGGACTAGGGGAGACAACGCTCTGCCGCGATCCTCCCCCAGGAGCCCCGCTCCCCAGTGGCGGGGCTGGGCTGTACCTTGCTCGCTGCAGCAGCCCTTGTACTTGACGATGTTCTCGTGGTAGAGCGTCTTGAGGATCTCAATCTCCCTCTTCCAGCTGGTGAGAAGCTGCTGGCTGCAGCCGGACTTCAACGACTTCACGGCCACCATCTCCCCGGTGCCGTCGTTGGTGGGGTCATAGCAGTACAGGCTCACTTTGCCGAAGTGACCCTGGGAGACAGAAACGGAGCTTTGAGATCCCATCACGGAGCAGGGCTCCAGTTGTCGGGTGCAGGGAGAGGCCCCGTGGGATGCACTAGCTGGGGCAGACAAGGTTCTCAGACAGAAAGGTCTCCAGTGCAAACGTCCTCTGCCAGCCTGGGATCCGGACCGAGCTCGAGGACTGTTAGTGGCAGGTCGGGAGCAGTGCCCAAAGAGCGCTGGAGGCCCCATGCTGGGCTGGAAAAGAACAGTAACAGCCAGGGGATCCCAGCTTCCCAGGGACAGGGCAGCACAGGCCGACCCAGGCCGGAGCAGACGAGAGGCTCATCTAGCCAAGCAGTGGTGCAAGAAACCCCTCAGTCAGCAGTCATGCCCTAACCTGCCTGTAGGGGAAGTGTCCTCCTAACGCAGGGCCTCAGCCAGCGGCTTTGCTCACACTTCCCTGACATACAGTCTATCCTTGCTAAAGGGATGGGGCTGTCCGCAGCATCCCTATAGAAACCTGCCAAGCTCTCGGGAAACGCAGCCATTTCTACCTCCCTCGGTCGGTGCCATTGAACCGGGGCGAGGGTCGCTATGGATGCAACTTACCTCCCCCAGTTCTCGGATCTTCTTCAGGTAGCGTTTCTGAAAGACCGTGGGGTCCGAGACAGGGAAGTCGGGGCTCACGGAGGTGACATCGACGAGGTCTGGAACGCAAGGAGAAGAGCCACGTGACTGACAGGACTGGCACGAGCCACGCGCCAGGGATGACCTCTTCCGGCGAGCCGAGGAGCAGCCAAGGGAGCTCTGTTGTGGCCAGAAGGATGTAGGGCGCCAGGTGCGGGGCGTGGGCTAAGCCCAGGGTAACTGCACGAGCCTGCTTGGGCTCCAGGGGTGGCAGGGGGATCGTCCCTTCTACTGAGCGCCAGGAGGGAGAGTCGCGTATCGACGCAGGGCAGGCGCCAGCAGAGCTGCAGTCCCCGCTGGGGGCCCCCACCCTCCCTGCCTGGCCTGACACAGAGCCGAGGAGCTGCCCAGGAGTCAGGAAGTCTCCCTCAGTCGGTTTCCAGCCCCCGCGTGCGCTCTGCCAGCTGGCGGGGGCCGGAGGGCTTACTGTGCGGCTGCAGCTGGGTGAGGTCCCGCAGGATGGTCCGGAAAGAGGGCCGCTCGCTGGGGGCGTACGTCAGGCACTGGCTGATCAGGGCAGCCAGCTCCTTGCAGGACGGCTCGGGCAGGCGGTGCTTCTTCTCATAGAAGCGCTCTTTCTGTGGGGAAAGGAGGGGGCCCACTGAGCAAGCCACACCGAGCCACACAGCCCCCCCCAGCTCCCCCCAAGCCCTCCAGTGCACACGGCCCCGACTCCTGCTGTCTCAAGAAACTCCGCGCTCTCCCCTGCCGCCCCCCCGCCACCCAGAGCAGCTCTGGCCTGCCACAGAACAGACCAGCCTCTTCCCAGTGGGGTTTAGAGCCCCAGAGATTCACTCCACTCCCGCTGCCACGCCAGCCTCGGAAGAGATGCTAGAGTCTGAGAGAAAAAAACAGTATATCCAGCCGCTACAGCTATCGCTCTCACTAGCCGGAGGGCAGCTCGCGGGCACAGCTTAGGTTATGGGACAGGCGCGTACCAGGCTGGGGGGGTACAGGCACCCAGGCACAGGCGTTACCTCAGAGGGGGTGCGCTCCTTCAGCGGGACGTCCGCGTCAAAGCAGATCTCCAGCAGGGTGGTGCCGAAGCTCCACTTGTCAGCTGCGGTGCTGAGGCTGCCGACATCCTGGACGCACTCAGGGGCGATCCAGGGGATCCGGTCCACTCGCTCTTTGGGGAAGAGGAGAGAGGGGTTCGGAGCTGCTGCAGGGACGCTGCCTGAGCGACCGCGCACACCACTAAGAACTCGGGTTTGGGGAAAGCCCCTTGCAGCAGGGCCTCAGGAAAGGGGCGGACGCCGAAGGAGTCGGGCCCGGTCACGGTGACCCAGCTCGGCTCTGCACAGGCAACCCACCCCTGCTGCGTGCGGACATCAGGAGTCACATGTGCAGCTCTGGCAGGAAGAGCTCCAGAGTCCCCAGCCCTGCTTGGGGGAGCAGGAGGGGCCGGGCGCCTGGCTAGGAGAGGACAAAGCAAACCAAACGGGAGTCCCACAAGCAGGGCCGGGGGGCCGGAGTCCCCCATGGGCGTGTAACCCACACCACTCTGTGCTCCGATCCGGTCACATCTCACAAAGGAGAGCTGGGCTGCAGGCAGCGCACCGGGGCTCAGCAGAGGGTGTTCTCCGCTCGGAGGCAGTGGGAGGGAAATGGAATGGGGGGTTCAGTAGGAGGCGCTCTCCCCCGAGAGTCATTGCTGACCGCAATGTGGCTAGGGGGCCTGTGCTGCAGAGAGTGGGGCTCGGAGCTCAGGACAGGACTCCAGCATGGTGCTCAGGGGATGGTGGCCAAACTCTAGCATGGATGAGCACATGCTGCATCCAATTCTCCCGACTGTTTCTATCAAAAACTATCCCTCCACTTCCTGTCCTCGATTGGTGTGTAGTGTTGCTGTGCGCTGTTCCAACAGCTGCAACAGCACACCCCAGACGTGGCTGCACATCTGGGGTGGATGCAGTGACTCCTTGAGTCGTTTGGCAAGTGCTCGAGGACCCCCTGGGCGGAAGGTGCTGGAGAAAGGCCTCGCCTTTTGTTTGCTTAAGGGATCCTTGCCGGAGCGAGCGACTCACGCGGCTCCACTCAGGGTCAGACAGGAGGACGAACCAAGCCTGGCTGGCGCCCGAATGAAACTTGGGATGATCGCGCCCATCCCAGCTGATGCATAGTTCACAGGAATCCCCGCTGCAGAGCCTGGTGACAGCACTCTGGGACGTCTCCTCCCGCATGGGAGCTGCGGGGAGCCCAGCCCAGCCCCCGACAAGCCGGGCATCTGGAGGGAGGGCACCGTGAACTAGGTACCTTCTCGGGAGAGCACCGTGAAGCTGACCCCAGGGTCGCTGAGCTTCACGAAAGGCAGCAACCCGTCCTCCAACCCCTTCCTGGCCAGTAGGATGTTCTTGGCGCACACGTTGCCATGCACCAGGTTTTTGTCCTCCTGTAAAAAAAAAAATAAAAAAAAATGAAGTGAGCGGTGAGGAGCCCCGTCCCTTTAAGATACTCCAGGTGCTCCGCAGGGTCTGAAGACCAGGCTGGAACGATGGGTCCCGTCCCAGCTCAACACGCAGGCACTCGCTTCCTGCCTCTTCCCCCCTCTGCGAGACAGATGTGTGGGGAGAGCAGGAGCAGGAGGCCCAACTGGCCTTTGTGCAGCTCTGCACAGGGCTACGTCCTGCCACCCGCAGCCTTTCCAAGCAGCTGCCGAGCGTGGGAGCACTCCTGAGCCACTGGCAACGGCCCTAGCAAGGAAGGGAGGAGGCAGCGTTCCACTCCCGGCTCTCCCCAGCCTCCGGGCCTCGCTCTGACCAGGAGCGCGGTTCACGTGTTACCAGAGACGGAGTCACGCAGTTTCAGACCTAGTGGTGCACCTTGGCGAGAGGCCTGGGTTCAAGCCCCAGCGCCGCCAGCGTCCTGCTGGGCGACTTTGGGTGAATCGCTCCTCGGCTCCGTGCTTCCCGGGGTGGGGAGGTGCTGGGACGCTGCGGCAAGGAGAGGGTTTGAGGCCCTACCCAGATGGATCCAGTGCTGAAGGGGACACCCAGCTGAGCGCTGGCGGATGGCGCTCCCCAGGGGGGGCTGGAGCAGAGAGGAGCAGGGGCAAAAGGTGCCTAAACAAGCCCATGGCTCTCCAGAGCAGCCTCAAAGGAATGCACCACCGCCCAGGGCACATCCCAGTTCCAAACGCAGCTTCTCACCAAGTAGCTCAGGGCGCTGGCGAGCTGCTTCGCGACCGTGATCTTCCAGCCGACGGTCACCCGGCCTTTCTCCTTCCGCAGCAAGACATCCAGGGGACCGTGCTCGACGTACTCCTCCACCATGATATCTGAGAGGGCAGAAGAGGCCGTTCCTTACAAGCCTAGCTCTTTGGCACTGGAGGGCAAGGCAGTGCCACAGGCTGGGGCCCAGCTGAGGACGCTCAGGACAGACGTGCCGGCAAGTCGCAGTCTGATCAACTGTTGCCGAGATGAAACCCCCTGCCCAGGCAGGATGGGGAGGGGAGGCATTCAGGGTATACTCCTGAGCCCCTCTGCGGGGGCAAAGGGCCAGACAGGCTGCTAGGGAGCCAGCTGCAGCTGCCATCCAGGGGAGGGCCACGCACTGGGGCGCTGTTACTCACTCTCGGAGCCCCGCACGCAGACGCCGTGCACGAAGGCCAGGTGGATATGCGAGACCTGGCTCATGAGGCTGGCCGTCTCGAAGAACGCCTGCAGAGAGAAGGGGGGAAGTCACTGGAGCGCGGTCCCCGGGACAGACAACCACCTCGGACCAGCTAACCGAAGCAGGCAGCGGGCTTGGGGTGGGGCTTTTGCTGGCAGGGCCAGTGTGTGGCCATTTCACCCCTCCTCCCCCAGGCTCCTATCCAGGTCCAGGGCCGTCTCCCCACATTCAGTCACCCTTCCTCCTGGGCTCCCGAGTACCCCCAGGCTACGGCACCATCGGGAGGCTCCCAGGCAGGGTCCTGGTCTCAGTCCGCGCGGCGTCCCGCATATTGAGCCCGTTCACACCGTAGATCTCCGGCCCTGAGCCGCCAGCAGGCTGGGCTCAGCACATGCCCAGCACTCCCTCCCTCCCAGCCCCAGGGCTCGGCTCACCAGGGCGATGTCCCTGTGGCTGGGGTCCAGCACCTTGAGTACCACATGCATCTCCCGACTGTTGTTGTTCTGCTCGGTGGAGAAGTACTCGGCCTCGTCGTCCCCGCCAGCACCCCCGCAAACATGAAGCACACCCTCGTAGATGTTGGTGCGGGTGCCCTGGCCCAGATGAGCTCTCTGCAGGGGAGACAGCAGCAAGGGGTCACTTGGCCCCGCAGGGAGAACCCCGCTTGCCCCCCACCATGGCCAGAGGGAGACCGGCCCTGGGATGAAGGTGCTGAGCCCCTACTCCTGTTGGGGTCACTGGGCCAGGCCCAGCACCCGCTCCCCAGTCCCCCCCACTGCACCGGCTTTCAGCTTCCCTTGCGCATCGATTCTCCTCCAGGACACCGACCCGTCCCCCCGGAGCCTCGTCAGGGAGGCTGACCTGGGTGATCTCGTTTTTCCGGATCTGGTGGAAGCTGAGCTGGGTCAGGTTCAGGATCTGCCTGGTGCTGTCCTTCACCCTCCGGGCGATGATCAGGTCTGAAATCTCTATGGGGAGAGGCCCACAGGAAGGGGAGGTCAGAGACTCCATCAGCCTTGAAACAAACCATTTAGGAGACTGCCCTGGCTCTCTGCATGTGAGAGCCCTGGGCTGGGGCAGAGCCACGGCCCAAACCAGCGGAGGGGGTTCATACCTCCCGGCTTCGGCGGGCAGCACCTCCTCACGGTGAAGCTCTCATCTCCCGACTTGAGCGTGCAGCCTTTGAGAACATCCATCAGCTCCCGTACGGTGGAGAACTCCCGCTCCCAGCCCTCCAGCACGAAGGAGCCGCCTCTCTTCTGGATCCGGAACTGCCTATACTTGGGTGTGGCCTGCGTCCCGGGGCCCAGGGAGAGAGGGGGAGAGAGACTCCGCTGTGACAGGGTAACCCAACGTCCATGGCTCCCAGAACCCCCGCTCAGCACGGACATGCCCCAATGACAATCTTACGCCTGATCACGCGGACCCTGCCATCACCCACGCCACTAAAAATCATGAGTGGGCAGCAGGGGCGGGCAACTTCTCCCTATTCACTCGCTGGTTCAGAGCACTGGGCTCCAGGCAGGGTCTGGGGTCAGGCCCCTGCGCTTGGCTAACCAGCATCTCCCCACCACTGGCTGCCTAGATTTCATCCCAATCCCCCCAGCTCATCTCTCCAAGCAGTCAGCCCAGCAGCACCTCTTCCATCCGAGCTGCAGCCAGCTGGCCACACCCCGGCTCAGCAGGGTTCCGGGCAGCGCTGCCATTTCAGACAGCGGGCGGGCCAGGTCTGTGCCTCTCGATTAAGCCTGTCTGCTGCCACTGCCCTACGCCAGCCGGTTGAGCGCGCTCAAGCCAGAGAAGGAAGTTGTTGCTCAGCTCCAGCATTTCCTGCAGTAACTAGGTCGGCTCAGGAGAGAGCACTCGCTCTCACCGCAAGTGAGACGTCAGGGCAGCCCGTACCTTCCCGGCCGGTTACACAGCACCCCCAGATTCTGTACCAGCGGCAGCCTTCCTCACAAGGCTCCTCCTGGCACCTGCCGGCCCCTGGCATCGTGGCCTGCATTCCCCAGGGCGACTGTGTGGAGAGTTGCGCCAGGGACCCGCCATGCAAGGCTTGGCGGCGCCAGGGAAAGGGAGTGTTTCTATGGAGAGGCGTGTGCCAGCTGGCAGGGCACATGCCCAAGCGGCCCTGCGTTCATGGCAGCTGCGTGCTGGGACATGCGTGTACTTGAGCGAGGTTGGAATTAATGAGACTTTCAGGGAAGATGCGTCTGCTCTGCCTGGGCAGCAGGGCAAAAGGAGCTGGATTCCAATAGGGCTCGGGCCTGGGAAAGTCCCTTGGCTCACCCCATTGTCTTTCCTCTAAGTCTCCCTTTGCCCCACTCTTGTGTTCTTTGTCTGTTAAGTTGCCACTTTCCACCCCAGAGGTGGCTGCACATATTTTTGGCACGTCTGGAGCTGCCCGGATCAGACACAGGTTGGCCCAACCCCTCCAGACACAGGGAGAGCAGTAAAAGCCAGCCAGAGCGGCTCTGCTGCGTGGCACGCCAACGCTTGGAGCCCACATTCGGTGCTGGGTCCATGTACTCCACCCAACTGGAGTACATCACTCCCAAACCCCTGTTGCACCCAGAGCCGCTGGCTGGCTCCCGGCCCAGATGCTGTTCAGGACAAGTGGGTCTGCGACGTGCAGTTGGCAGGGCGTGCCAGGAATGAGGCCAAGCTAGCCTGGGTGGGAGACGGGGCTTTCTCCAGGGCTGGGCCGGGACTGGGGAACAAACTTCTCCAGGGAACCAAGGACCATCCCAAGTGCCAGGCCACTGCTTTAACCTGCCTCCTCCCACCCCACACCTGCCTCACCTGGCCTCGGTCCCTCTTCACCACCGACAGGATCAGCCTGTTGAAGTCGAGGATGCTCCAGCGGATGATGTACAGCCCATCCTGCTCCTCCCGCTTCAGCTTGGCGAAGACGAACTCCTCCCTGGAGGTGGGAAAGGTGTCAGACGGGCCCAGGCCGCGTGGAGCCCCCAGGTCTCCCGCTCGGCAGCAGGCGCCACTTACTGCATTGGCCCATGAATGCAGTTCAGGACGCTCATCACCAGCCGTGGCGGGGCCACCTCGTGGCACAGGTAGTGGCTGGAGTCGGCCGTGAGCCTGAAGTAGCCGTCCACCAGCGACACCAGGGACAGGGCCGTTTCGTATGACGGGAGAACCAGCTCCTGGGGGAGGGAAAAACAGCCACGGGGCGTCATCACTGGCTGGCCGAGAGGCTGCCCAGGCCTCGCCTCCCCCCTCCCCTCCCTTCACTGTCCCAGCTCCGGTTTCTGAGCCAGCCAGTGATTCAAGGATGAACCCCTGAGCGCTCAACACATGGGTTGGCACTCCCAGCAGCTGGCACGTCACTAACCGGAACACCTGTGGAATCCTGATGCACTATGGGAAAGCCCCAAGATTCTGGTATTGACCCCGCCCCCTCTGCCCACAGCTCCCTTAGGTCCCCTCCCCGGCACCCCCCATCCTGGAGATGGCTGGAGCCAGTAACCGTTCCTTAGTCTGCCCTCTAATGCCAACCCCCTCCCATCTCCAATGGGCTGACCCTGGAGCCGAGGGGCAGGGGGATAGGAAAGGAGAAAGACTCGCCCCGTCTCAGAGCCACGGGTCTCAAAGCACTGGACAGACATTCAGTGATTAAAGCCCAACACCCCCCAGTTACCGGGTGATAGACGTACGCAGGATTGACTTGGCCAAGACCACATCACAGGTGGAGCTGGGGATGAAACCCAGGATTTCCCTGCTCTAACCACTAGCCCCCACTCCCCTCCCACAGCCGGAGAAAGGCAGTCCCCGCTCCAGAGACCCGTCACGCAGGGAGAGCCCTCACCAGGCACTTGTTGTCTTGCCGGTTGATGCTGACTTTGCAGTCCTCAAGGGCAATGTGCGTGATCTCCTGGAAGTCACAGAAGCGCACCCACTTGGCCTCGCTCCTCTCCACTGGCTGACACGGCCCTTTGGGGTCCAGCTCTTTGGCCTTGGTCTTCCTCCCAAAATAGCCCCGGTGGGGGTGGCTTTCTGCACTCTGCGGAAGTAAAACAAAGCAGAGTCACAGCTCCGGCTTTCCAGGGGGCTGGGCAGCATCCACAGACTAGGTGAAGCGGTGGCCAGGCCTGGCCTGCATTCTCCCACGGCACCAGCTCCCGCCAGCGAGCATCTAGCCCTTCACCCCACCTCATGCGCCTCCCGCCCCACATCAGTTCTGACTCAGCCTTAGCAGCACGCCCTGGGAAGCTGGGCTTGCCCCATCTTCTTCCAGAGGCAGCATTTTCAGCTCCAGCAGCAGCAGCACGGCTCATGCCAGCACCGAGGCAAGCCCGAGCGAGCACACCACTTGCCAGGGATAGAAACGCGCTTTGCTAAGCAAGTCCCTGGGGTTAGCAGCGCTTGCGTGGCACGGAACACAGCAAGCCCCGGACGCTGGACCGATGCCACCCTCATTCATTGGGCCCTCAAGGCCAGGCTAGTCTTGTGCCTTCGGAGACGGGGGTTTCCCCGGGCGCATACCATTAACCACCACTCCCTGGCTCTTGCCTAGCACTTTTCAGCAGCAGCTCTCACAGGAGGTCACTACCATCACCTAAATTCCCTACCCCAGCCTGGGCCGAAGACGGACCATCACCCTCATTTTACTGATGGGGAAACTGAGGCACAGAGCAGGGCCATGACTCACACAGCAGGCCAGCGGCAGAGCCAGGAACAGAACCCAGGTCTCCTGAGCACAAGCCCTGGGCTCTATCCACTAGGCCGCAGTGCCTTTGAACAAGAGGGGGTCAGCCCTAGCTAGAACCGGACCAGCACCGCCGATTGCGACTCCCAAGGAAGAGGAGCCAGTGGCCCCCCATGGCAGGGGAGCCGGGTACAAGCCTACCTGAACAGGGACAGTCCGCCACTGAATCCCGTCCGTGCCGGTGACCAGGACTTCGTGGGTGGCGGGCCTGTCCCTGGGAGACGACGCACAGCCGTCCTCCAGCTGCGCGTGCCCGCCATTGATACAGGGCAGCACCTTCTCGCCCTCAGAGGCCGTCTCCAGGGAAAGGACCGGGAAGAGCTCGCTCCCGAAGCGGGGGGCCAGGTTCTCCAAGGTGGCCAGGTACTTGTACATGACGTCCTGCTCCGTCAGCTTCCCAGCACTGACCGTGTGCCGCTGGAAGCGCTGCACGAACTTCCTGAAGACGTTCCTCATGCGGAACTTGGTCAGGTAGTTGTTCTGCTGGATCTGCCGGCAGAAGGAGCGTGGGATGCAGCCCTTGAAGCTGGGAGAGACAGGGGAAGGAACGGCCCCCAGGTAGGTTAGCACGCCTGCTCACCGGGAGGGGCATCGCACAGGAGGGAGAGCAAATGGCAAAGCAGAGCATGCAGAAAGGACGCTGCAGTCACACAACGCGAACCCTAGCACCCGGCACAGTGTGTCATGTCTTAGGCCCTACCGCCCCCTGGGTCGCAGGGTGCCCGCTGGAGGAGAAGCGCGCTCTCCTGGGGTCAATTCAGTTCCAACACCTGCTGCCAGACGACTCCGATGATGGGCTCCAGAAACCACCTCCACGAAAGCCGTATTATTTCCAGCGCTGGCGTGAGGAAGCTCCGCCCCATTCAGCGGGCGCACACTAGCTGAACTGTAGTGCCTGGGACGAAGGTGGACAGCACACCGCCGATGCCCATCCACCCCGCAATCACCTGGTTTTTTTGGCCACTTCTTCGAGAGAGACGCCTCGCTGGAGAGCCATGTGAGAGAGGTGAAGGACAGCCATGCCTAAGCTCTCGTTCTTAAACCGGTGGATCTCCTGTTCGCTCTGAAGGTCTTTCAGAGACACAACGTCATTAATGAACTCGTATTTCCCCTGCAAAGGGAACCAACGAACAAAACAACGTTCTCCACAGAGAAAAGGGGACTCAAACCATACACTCCAATGTAGCGGTCTTCCTTCTGAGCCTCACCGAGAGAGCCCTTCTCAGCTCCTACGGCCCGGAGCGTATTTGGAATATCTTTACATCAAATGAGGCAAAACCTTAAAGATTTTCTTGTGTGTTGGAAGAGCTGCAGCCCACCCTGCTTCAGGGCCAGCGCCCTGACCTTGAGCTATCAGGGCTCAGGAGGAAACTTCCCTCGGGGCAGGATATTCCACACTTCCTCTGAGGCAGCTGGTGCTGCCCCTGTCCGAGATGGGATACCGGGCTAGAGGGACATGGGCCCCTGCTCTGATCCGGTTTGGCCATTTCTACATCATTGTAAGCCTTTCCCCAGCCCACAGCCTCCTGCCACTGAATTAGAAAAGGAATGCACACCCAGGAGAGCACCAGCTCGGGTGACGGGGAAGCCGAGAAAAACATTGTGCCAGCGCCCTTGGGAATCAGCGCTCGAGTCTCCACTGAGGCAGGTGTCAGATCCCTGTCTGTGCGACACAGGTTCTCATCCTGCACTCGGCACGCTCATAGCCGAGTATCAGAGGTGTCCAGCGAGAAGCGCTGGTGAAAGCGGCACTCATCCCTAGGGAGCCCCGGGTCTATATCTAACCCTTTCGGCCGCCAGCCCTTCCCAGTCACGGCACCGGGGCCCCCACCTGCTCAAAGAGATACTCGAAGGACGACTTGTCCAGAAGCGCACCGCCCTGCAGCTTGTCCTCGAGGGCGTCGCTCTGCCGGGGAACGTTGCGGTAAACGGCCGGCTCTTTGTCGCTCATCCCATGCCAGTTGCGGAAGTAGTACCTGTGGGAGACAGACACAGACAAACCTGTGGGAGGCGGGAAGGGCCACAGCACCACTGAGCCCAGTGGTTTAGCAGCTGCCAGACCCTGGCTACAAAATCCTCCCTCTTCTGCTTCTGAGTCAGTCCCCTCCAAGCTGCCCCGAGCAGCAGGCAGGAGTCACAGCGAAGGGGCCTGGTCTCCACAGCTGCAGGGCTCAGCTCTGATGGCCACACAGCCAGCTTTTCACTAGTGCACGTCCAAGTGCTTTACAAGGAAGGCCAGTATCATTAGTGCTATTTACCGCTCGGGAAACTGAGGCATGGAGAGGTGGAGTGACTTGCCCAAGGTCACCCAGCAGGTCAGTGGCAGAGCTGGGAATAGAACCTAGGTCTCTTGGGTCCCAGTCCAGTTCTCTCTCCACTAGACCACACTACCACCCCTCTGGGACTGGCAATACAACCAAGCAGACCTACACCCTGCTAGAGTTAAGGGCCGGCTCCTCGGCTGGTGCAAACCAGCATACAGTAGTTTCAGGGATTTATATCAGCAAGGACCTGACCCTGCCAGCCTCCCCACTGCTGCAGGACCCTCCAGGTGCCTAGCCAGGCAAGTGCGTCCTGTTCAGTGCTGGGGTCTCGGCCCCTTGTGCTGGCACCCACAGCTGCTGCCTGAGCCACTGCACGCTACAGGCCGCTCCGTACAGATGAACGAGCGCTAGAGCTTGGCCAGAGAAACGCCTGCCCATGCTCCAGCGGGGAAGGGCATGAGCCAGCGCTCCCCCATGGTGCAGACGGTTTCAATCTGGCAGACAGCGTCCATGCCAATGCAGTGAGCTGGGGACCAAAAGCCTCTATTTCAGCCAGAGCAGCAGCAGGGCGAGTGTCCCAGGACATTTCTGCCAGCCAGGCCCCGCCCCGCAGGAGGAATTCAGACTTCGAGGCCCATTCGGCACAGACAAGTGAGGGGGGCAGTGCTGCATTGGCCACGGGGACCAAGACGCCGCCCAGGAACGGCTCTCAGTACATCCCAGACCTGCACCCCCGATTCGGGGAACCTCCCCCACAGATCTCCAGCTTGTGGTTTCCAGGCTGTTTGAGAGGCTGGAGGTTTCCAGGGGCCGGGTTTTCTGGGCAGGGAAACGCGCCAGACTACACACACCTCTCAGGTCCAGCTGGCTTCTTCCGAAGGAATGTACTTCACTCGCCTGGCACTCACTTGCCTGAGAGCACCCTCTTCTCTCAGGGCCTGGCTCCATAGTTACCAAACTCCAGTTGCTCTCGGGGCGCAGAGAGGAGAGGAGGTTAAAAAGCCTGCTGTTTACAAAGGCTCCTGGGATCAGAGGTCTCCGCCAGAGCAGACACGCCTCTCAGAGTTAAGGACTCCTGTGTTCTAGGCCCAGTTCTGCCACTGACTCAGTCACCGTGGGGCAGGCCATGCTGCTCCTCTGGGCCTCAGTTTCCCTGCCTATAAAGTGATGAGAACATGGATCTCCATCGAGCACTTCACCAGGGCAAGCCTGCTCCAGCAGGCAGCCACTGCAGCACCAGAGCTGCTGAGGACAGGAGTCACTTATGTGCAGCACAAGTGGTCTCCGAGCCCGTCAAGCAGGGATGCCCAGCCAAGAGGACTGTTCAGCAGCAAGACTTGCTCGGCTCCTGAGCCGTTAAACAGCAACAGAATCAAACGGCTACCAATGCAGCAAGCAAGCTACTGTCCCAGGCCCTGAGCCTGCCATTCGCCTCTCCGGACATAGGTGTGGGTAGTGTGGGCTCCTCGAGGCAGAGCGTGCACCATCTCGCACAGCAAAGCTCTAGTCCAAGCTGGGTGTGTTAGGGGAGGGAAGCGTGCAACACTGCTGCTTGCATCCCAGAGACCCCTCATGCTGGGTGCTAAGGCACACTGCCTGCCCCAGAACGCTCACTGTCTAACAGGCAAGAGGTGTCAGCCGGGGTGGGAGGAGGTGCACATTGTACGAAGACTGGCAGGCCACACAATTCGTAGCCAGAGCACGGTTAGCTCACCAGCTGTATCGTGCCTGCACTGTGGCTAGAGGCCTCCAGTCTCCCTGGGTTGGCACCTCTCCCCAGCACTGTGCTCCACTATTTAAAGAACAGCACTAACGCGTTGCTCTTTGGATCGCACCCAGAGGGGCCAGCCAGGAGCAGGACCCCGCTGTGCTGGGCCCCAGACACCCATCTTGGGGAGAGTCACTATGGAAAAACTCCAGCCAAAGCGAGTTTCGGTTTCCACTGCCTGCATCCTCCCCAGAACCCTCAAAGCCACAGCTGTCTGCGGTAGCGAGCACAAAGCTATTCTGACGCTCACATACCGAGACACGCAATTTCCTGCAGCGGTGCTCCGGCGTGGGTGGCTTAGCCACCCGTCCTGGCTGAGGTCAGGGGAGTGACACCTAGCTGTGCCTTGGAGGGGAAGGAAACAGAGTGCTGCTGCATCCAGCGTGAGCCATTTGTAATCTAGGGGCTGGATCCGGCCGTTGGAACAGGCTGTCCGTTAGCAATGTGACTGATGCTCTGTCCAACCCAGGGGCTCAGCTGCCAGAGACCTATGCTCTATCTGCAATCAGACTGCATGCATCCTCACCTTTGGTACAGAGATTGTGGCCTACAGCGATGCTGTTTAGAGCAACACAAAGACTACATAGCCCAGCATGCTTTGCCCCATCTTGAGCTGAGCAGCTAAGCATGCTGGGATATGTGGTCTGCGCTGAAGATGAGGCTGGCAACAGGCTGCTTTTTAGAAGCCCACGATCCACACTCCAGTACCATGGCGATGCAGGCGGCCAAAGCCCTCCCATACAGACCCTTTGGCCACTGTGTATTTGCAGGCCGTCAGTGCAGCACCAGACGGCCTTTAATTAGTCAGCGCTGTCCTCAGCACCTGCATGCCCGACAGTGACATACAAGATGCCTACAAGCAAACATTCCACTTTCTAATTAGAAGCACACTGGTGCTAAAGAGGAAAGTTGCCAGAGGAGAGGTTCACAGGACCTAATAAAATCCCAGACCAAACAGTCTTGTAATCGCTGTTCACTTTTGCCTTTATTATGACGCAGACGCTATAAAAACGAGCATGAAAGCCCTGCCGTCGTGGTGACTGCGTTCTCGGAGGAGATGCTGGGTCCTGCAGCATGACTCCTGTGGTCTGTAAGAGCCTCGCAGAGACGAGATCAATAAGCAGAACTGCCTAACGGCTGTAAGAAAGCCACACACTCCTCTTTTCATACCTGGAGACCTAGATCAACACGCTACCCCCAAGTCACAGATAGAATGAGTTCGGTGGGTCCCAGCCTATTTCCCTCTGGACCTTTGTCCACGTCACCAGCGCTCTGTAATGACGTGACTGGTAGATTCTGCTCAGGAGAAGCCCAAGTCTGGAATGGCAGAAGCAGAGCTGACTGTGGGGAAGCACGGACTGGAACAGCAGGGGATGTGGGTTGGGATAGAGGGGCACAAGGAATCCTGTGACAGATTTCCACTGCAGGGGCGCACCGCCCAGCTCTCGGCCGTACAGTCAGCCCAAGGGAGACCCAGAAAGACATGCACAGAGTCTCACTTCCCCAGAGATGCTGCCCGGTTGCTGTGTGACCTGATGCCAACCTTTATCCAGGCTTCTTAATTGTTTCCGTTGCCTCCCTTCCCAGGTAACCAGGCAAACGACCAAGGGATGCCTCTCCCCAACTCGAGCGTTCCTATTCAAATGCCTGACACGTTACCCCATAGCAGCTGGCTAAGGGGCTCCTCGCCCCGAACTGCAGCTGGCAAAAGTAGAGAGCGTGTGAGGAGCCACTCGTGACCCCAGGGAGCGATTCTCACCTCATGCGGAAGAGCAGATTCAGGTTGGTGTCTTTGCTGATTTCAAACACATGGTTGGGAGGGAGCCAGACTCTGGTCTGCACGTCACAGAGCGCGAAGAGGCTGTAGCAGAGCGGTGTGATCCCTGCAGGAGACAAGAGAATTCCTGTGCCATGGCAGGGGTGCATTTCCCCTCTGCCCCGGCGTTAAACGGCACCGTTCTATAGCTGCCGCAAAGCCGCTTCTCTCATGGTCTTGTCCTGGAAGCGGTTCCCAGTTCTCTCCATCCCGTTACAGGATTTTACCGGTAACGGACTCCTTCACTGAGTGCCAACGGCAGGAATAGCGCCTGATGCTCGGAGACCCAAGATCTAGGCCCAAGTCCCACAATGCAAGAATGGAATTAGCCCTTTCTGAGCCACGCGACGGCTCAGAATGTAAAAGTACTTGTTAAAACTAGCCTGCTTTTAACAAGAATCCTCATAGCTAGCCTTTAAATAGCACTTCGGCCGCAGATCTCTAAGGGCTTTACAAAGCAGGTCAGTATCAACAACTGTTTTGCAGATGGGGAAACTAAGGCACAGGGAGGGACAGAGACTTGCCCAAGGTCACCCAGCAGCAGGCCAGTGGTGGAGCCAGGAATAGAACCCGGGTCTCTTGAGTCCCAGTCCAGTGCTCTCTGCACTCGGCCACACGGCCTCCTCCAGAGACATCGCCACACCCCAGGCTGGTTGCTTAGAGGCAGCCAGTTGGCCTGACAACCCTCTCAGCAGCGTGACGGGTTTGCGGAGTTGGTTTTTTTTTTTTTAAATCTGCACCAAGCAGAAAACACCACCACAATGGGAGACATGACCCCAGCCTGGTTTGTCAGCTGGCCTCACGCAGGAGGAAAGGGGGTTTGCAGCAAACCCGGGGTTAAAAGGCACATCAACCACTCCCTCCTCCTCCCAGTGGGAGAGGGAAATACCCCTGCACAGCCCTGGCGGCTCGGCTCGGACGGGACCTAAGAACCAGGCTCCGGTGACATCCATGGCTCCTGCGGCTCACCAGGGAAAGTTCCTGGAGAGTGGCAGAGTGTTTATCACGAGAAGATGCCAATGAGTCAGAGGCCGCATCACCACAGTCGAGCTAGTCATGCTCCGATAACTCAGCCTTCCAGTAAAGGCCCGACAGCCAGAGCACAGGAGAAGAGGGAGATTCACCCTACGCCTAGGAACCCCAGACACACACAGGAGGCTAGAGCCAATGGGCCTGATTAGTAAGAGCTCCAGCTCTAATGGACACAGAGCTTCTAAGGGGGATGGCAACTCTCAACAATCCATAGCAAGGGGGACTCGGTGGCAGGTAGGGATTAGAGCCTTTTGCCTCTGGTCAGGGACTGGCTGGTTCAGAGCGGGGAGCTGGTCACGGGATGGAGTAACGGCCCTTTCAGCTCTACGGCACCAGCCCATGGCTGGGATCATCCAAAGGACGTGATTCATAATCCCCATGGGCAGAGCTACATCATCGCAGACTGCACTGGCCAGCGAGAGCTCAGGGTTACAGGGAGGACACACGCGGAGGGTGCCAGGGCCGGGCTGGCAGCGCGGCTGCCTTCAGACAAGGCAGAGGGTGGCCTGTGGAGCAGCTGCACGCTAGCAACCTGGGGTCACCCGAGTTCACAGTTCTTGGTATCTCAGGAGGGGACATGCCCCAACAGCCCCTTGCCGCTAAAGGGAAGAACAGGCTTTGGATCGTACCCCCGGGGCGGTAACAGTTCTAACGACACTGGCGCTCCCGTAAAACCTGCGCTGCTCGCTGACCCAGCAGCATCATAGGGAAGCAGAGGGAACCTTCATCTTTGAGTCTGAAGCGAGGGATGAGCCCCCACCCCAACGCAGCGCTGGGCAGTGACCCCCCCTGGCAGATCCAGCAGCGTTAAGCACAAGTGACTGCTCAGAGCCCTGTCTTTGGGGCAGGGGCAGACTCATGGAGGCTTGTCTGGAGCAGCGGTAGCCCAGGGACACAGCCGGCGCTCACCGATTTTCTGGGCAATGTCGATGCAGATCTCCTCTGCGCTCAGCACCCCCTGCGTGTAGGTCTGGCACCGCTCCTCCTCCTCACCGCTCCAGTGCAGGTACACCTTCAGGCCCCCGCCCGCAGAGAAGCAGCAGCCCTCCATGTCTGAGTCGCTGTGCTTCCCCGCACACTGGCACAGAGACATCTCGCCAGGGCCTGAAAGGAGAGAGGGAAGCGTTTGTAAGGAAAGGGTGGGCCGATCTCCGGCAGGACTCAGGGCAGTGCTGCGGGGGTCCCGGGGCCTGACGGCGTCAAAGGAACATCGCTGCTCTGGCTCACTGGCGAGATGTGTGGCTGCGGGTGCTCGTGTCCCAGGGACCAGCCAGCTGGAAGAAGCCTGCCATGGCTGTATTCAGTAGGGGAGGGGTCCTAGGAGGGCCCCAGGAAGGCAGCAAGTCCAGCAGGGAGAAGGAAGAGGAACTAGCCGGCCAGAAAGGAGTGAGGCGTCACCACACCGCAAACGCCCTGGGCCAGCGCCCACCATTTGCCTCTGAGCGATGGGGTCCCTGCGGCGCGGCACGCCCCCCCAGGGCGGAGGAACACCAGCCCCCAAAGCCCAGTCACCCTCCCAGGAGCCTCGGAACAGGGACATACTCTGGCCCTCGCTCCACCACCCCATTACTCTGCAATAGCCAGGCTCACCGCACCCCACCCAAACAACTGGGGGAAGCCAGGGGTCAGCGCCCAGAGCCCTGAAAGCAAAGATGTCCTGCCCCTGTCCCTCCCTCTCTGGTGGGTCTCTCTCTCTCTCTCTCATGGGCCAGGCTCCACCGCTCTACTCACACAACGAGGGATCCGTCAGCCTGGCAGGTAGGGCCCCCCCAACCCCAGCAGACAAACCACAGCTGGGTCCAAGTCTAACAGCACTTTGCCCAGCGGAACAGACCACGTGAGCCAGCGTAAGATGCAGACCAAAGACACTTCTCTATTGAGCCAAGAGAGGGAAGGACTTATCCAAGGGGGTGCAGCAAGTCAGTGACAGAAATGGGAACAGAACCCAGGAGCCTGGGCTCCCAGCCCCTCCCCCCCCCATTCTAACTCACCAGACCCCACACCCCTCCCAGTGCCGGGGATAGAACCCAGGAGTCCTGGCTCCCAGCTTCCCCATTCTAACCCACTAGATCCCACTTCCCTCCCCGAGTTGGGGAGAACCCAGGAGTCCCGGCTCCCTTCCCTCCTGTTCTAATCACAAGACAACACTCTAGTTTAAGCCAGGGCCCAGTTCTGCCCCCAGTTACGTGGGTGCTTCCCCCTGGAGAAGCCAGTGGGAGCTGTGCCTTTGTAACAGGGCAGGCCTTGGCTTCTATACCCAGCTAAACATGCAGCCAGGTGCCTTTTGCTGACTAAAGACAGATCTTAGCACACAGCTATTGGCTTCCTCCGCGTTCAGCAGGGAACTCCCACATAGGGTGGGAAGTATCCTGCCATTCCATGGCATGTATTCCCCACCAGAGCCAGCGAGACAGAGGAGGTCCTGCCTACCATGCAGCCGATAAGCAGCCCGAAGCCCTGCAGAGATAAAAAGCTGCTCCCCGGAGCCGTAAAGGCTCAGCAATGGCTCACCCAGGCGCCCCCACTGCAACAGCTGCAAGATTGCTGGGGCTGGGCTCCAGAGCGACTCAGGAGGGGGAGAAAGGCGAACCTCTTGGGGCCGCAATAGCCCAGTGAGTATTAAGCATGTGCAACCACAGAACAGGCTGTAAGCGCAGGGCTCGCTTTGACATCAGACACGCCTGGAGAGCTCAGAAAAATGGGCTAGTCAGTGACAATAGAGACTGCACGTGACCTGCCGCCGTGGAGCCACAATTGGGCCTGGATGTGCAGAAATGAGACATCCGCACGCGCGCAGGCCCCTGCGCTGGAGAGGGGAGCAGACAGAGCAACACAACAACACCCACCCCACCCCCCATTCCAAGTGGATTAAGCCCCTCCAGAAGACCAACCCCCCCAGTACCGATACCCAGGATAAAGTCTCGCTGATCCTTTTCTGTTTGGGGGAGAAGGCGGCTATCAGCAAAACAGCTTAAGGAAATACAGCTGTTTAGGTTTGTAAGCAAATACACCAGAGACCTTGCTGTGTCTCTGCTCCCTGTGAGCGCTCTGTGCAGTTCAGTGGCTTGCCGCAGGAGCCAGGTGGTGGGGGGAGGGTGGGTGTTGCGCTTGAGTGAGTCGGCTTATCTCGAGCCACCCCTCACCTGTGGGGGAGCTCATCAGATATGCCCCCCCCCCCCCCCATGGCACAGCAGCTACTGCATGGCTGGTTACACTACTGCCAGGTCACATTCCTCCTACTGACTCAGCAGAGGAACGGGTCTGTGGTGCGTGGGCTGCCCGGGTTTGATTTACTCTTGCTGGGGGAGGGGAAAGTGGAGAAGAGGGTAAAACGTCAGCGAGAAGCAGTTTTCTAGGGATTCCTCATCCGTACCCGGCTCCAGACGGGGGCCCTAGTGGAGGAAAGACGGGTTCGGTACAAAGCCTCTCAAACCTAAGTGACTAACAGGATCCCTCAGACACATCCTCACGCTAAACCTGGGCAGCTCCCCACCCCTGCCAGTGACCAGAATGGAATCCAAAACGAACAGCCGTTCCTCCTCTCAAAAAGCCTTGCTTCCTCATTTCTGTAAACCAGGCAAGGTGAAGATTTGCTTCCCGCATGTGGCCTTTGCCCCTGCACTCCGTTTGCAGGAGGGCTCAGTGCCTCTAACTCGAAGGAGCTGCGGGCACCCGGCACCAGCACCCCAGGTTCCCATTGAAGCCAACCGGCCATGTGCACCACACCTCTGAAAAACCAGACCCTTTATCAGCCCGCAGGCAGGCTACCCACTGGCAGCGGCTGAGATAGTCCATTATTCTGGGGAAGAGCTTGGAGGGTTTCTCCAGCTTTCAAGTTGCAACGTCAACAGTTTGACAAAGCAAAACACAGGAAAATCTGACAATTACAGGAGCCTGGGGTTTGTTTCGTATTCATTAAGTTCCATAACATTACGGAGGCACAGGAACTGGGGAACCCCAAATTGCCCTTCAAAGTTGCGGGTTCTTGATTTAAGGACCCTGGGGGTGCCCCAGGGTTGGGACCACGCTGCCCTTCCCATATTGCTAAATAGAAGCGTGGAGGGGTCTCAGACTGGAAGCAACTGACAGCCACTGCCCTGAATGTTTTCCTTTGGCTTCCCCCATTTTCACCTGTGGCCTCTCTCCTGACCCTTGTAACAGGGACGAGCGCTCTGAAATATTTGCTGTTCCTGGAGAGCAGGAATCTTGTTGATTCAGGCCTCTCGGCCTTAGGGCAAGAGAGCAAAGCTGGCAGGATGTCACGAAGCACACATCCTCAACCTTTGCGGTTTATTTTCACCCACATGAAGGCCTGGGGATCTCAGTCACCAGAGAAAGCCCCTAGGGCAGACAGGCAAAACTGCTGTACACCACACTTTGCAATGGTAGAGTCACCCCTGCTCGCAAGAGGGATCCAGCTGCAAATCATGGCTTTCAGCGGCTTTGCCAATCTAGGCTAGAAATCTGCAGTGGCAAATCTACACCAATGGCTGCAACTGGGCACGCCTCCAGTGCAAACGAATCCGAAGCAGCCACAAACTCAAGGCTGGGGAGGGGGGGGGGGGGGGGAGAACTGGACACAAACTAAAGAGCAGACCACCAAAGCCAAAGGGGAGGCACTTCCCTTTTTCATGATAGCACCCCTTCAGGAACCTAGACTTTGTCTACACACACAAATTGCACTGGTTTAACTTAAACTGGTTTTTAAACCAATTTAGTTAAGCCAGTGCCTACCAGCGTGGACATTCTTATTTTGGTTTAAGAGTGGCTCATCTGGGCGTGAGTTGAACTGATTCCTGACCGACGTAAGCGAAACCAAAATGAGCCCAGTTTAAACCGACAGAACAGGGTCCATATAGCCTTTTGCACTGATTTAATCTATCAGGTAAAACCAGTTTAAGTCAAACAAACGCAGTTGGGGCAGGTAGGCAAAGCCTTTATGCACCAAGCCTTCAATCTGGCTTCGACCTAACCACACCTAAGAGACATCCGTGCAGCACCAACCTGCCAAAAGAGGGCCAAAGCCTCACCTGGTGTAAATGAACTCAGCCGCTCCACTGTCTTCAGTGAAGCTAGGCCCACTGACCCCCGCCGAGGTTCCGGCCCCCAGCACTTACACTTTAATCATCCTGTTAATACACTTGGAACCTCCTGGACATACAGTTGCCTACACCGAATAACCACGATCTCATCTCTCTACGAGCAACCCCCCTTCGGCCCTTCCTGGCGTCGGCAACAAGAGCCCGCGGTGGGAAGTTGAAGCTAGACAGAGTTAGACTGGAAACAAGGGGCAAAGTTTTAACCACAGACGTCATTAGCCATGGGAACAACTTACCAAGGCCTGGGATGGGTTCTCCATCATGGGCAATTTTAAAATCAAGACTGGATTTTTGCTCTAGTTCAAAGGAGGAATGAATCTGGGGAAGTGCCCCAGCCCGTGTTCAGCAGGAGGTCAGACCAGAGAGCGGGAATGGGCCCTTCCAGGCTTCGAACCAGTGAATCTGGTCTATTTTGCTCTCGCCTGTCAAGGCGGCTCAATAGACTCTCACCCCAGAAGGGGCCATTGGGACCAGCTAGCCTGACCTGAGTCTACCCTGGAGATGATCAGCTCCCTGAGGCAAGGGCCCACTACCAGGCCTAGAAGATCAGCCTTCTGTACTCTCCTTTGCCTTGGAAATTAGAGGAGCCCCCCAAAGGTTACGCCCACAAGGGCTTCAGGGCAGGGAACAGTTTGAAACTGCTGCTCTGCTAAGGAAAGAAGAATAAAAACAGATCCAAGATGAGCCCAGTGCTCCCACGAGCTTCACCCGGGAAAAATTCAAGGGAAGACCCACACCAGCCAGGATACCAAGAGCATCCTGCACCTCCGGAAATGGTGGAGCAGGGAGGCCCGCGGTCAGACAGAGAGCACCGCAACTCAAAGAAGTCCACGGGAAAGGTGGAGTCAGAGGGCAAGCTGGCAGCGCCCTGGCCCCTGGGAAGGGCAGCTGTTTTGCATTCAACAAGCAAGTCAGCAGTAGGAGGTTCACACTTCCTGTGCCCCTCCCCACTAGCACAGGAAGGGAGCCGGCTTCTTCCCGCAACTGACACCCCGGTGCCCCCACGACACCCCATTTCTGCTGCAGCCAGCCTGACTCCTTCTCATGCCGGACACCCCTTCTCCCAGCTTCTGCGCCACAGCCTCCTGACCCCTCTCCCATCCCAGCCTCGCCAGGGCCAGACGGGTTAGACTTGACAGAGGAAGGAGCTATACGAGGCATTTCCATCTCCATGACTCCCCCATGCTTTCCAGCAGCAGAGCCGTCTACGCCTGCTCCCCCGACACCCCC